CTTAAGATTTGAGACTTGCAAAACAAAGACTCCCACCTCTGATCAATACCAACAACGTTAAAGGTGCATTATGTAACTTTTCTGGTGGAATGTCCCCCACCTGCTTTTGTCCATGGAGATGTTGTTGCTTTGTCTAATATGTTTCACAGTATGATATTAAACCTTATTTATTTTCATAGAGATCAAGCCACACCAAGTTGAAGGTCAGATCTGTGGAGAGGCAACCCCGCTCACAGTTAGAATACCTGTTTCCTAGGCATTTTAAGCAGTTTAAATAAATGCAAAGTAGAACTGTTTAATGTCATTCTGTGGCACATTCAGCAAAGCAAGTACATAGCGGTCCCTCCACCAAAAAAAATTTTACAAATTGTTCAAGATGACCAAAAAAAGACCAAATATAGCTATGAGTTGTCAATACTTTATCTTTGTTTTATTACATTCAACTGTGAGAACAAGCCTAGTGGAGGAAAGAAGAACTTAATATGGAGGTTTGTTTCTGTGTTTCCAAATTCTGCCCTTTCCTTGAGTTTTCATAAATGTTACAGTGACATGAATGAGGATGAGCTTATCTCACAATGAGCAAAATCTGAAAAGTAAAACATGTTATCAAATGAGGGCAGTTATGTAATTACTTCTATTTTTGTCTGTTTAATCACATATGTTTTGCTTGTGCCTGAGCCATAAACGGAACACAATACAGTGCAAAACAAAAGTAATTTTAATGTGTAATATGTACTTTTTTTTTTTGCTAGATCCATTATCTCTAATTTAGTATTTCTCAAGTTGTGGTCCAGGTACCACTAGGTTTACATGGGCTGCTTTTGGTGGGTTTTTCTACAGTTCTTTTATAAGCTTGTTAAAGTCAAGACTAAAACTTTTTTTTTTTTTTTCCTGTTTTAGTTCTAGTTTAGCTCTGCTTCTACTCTGATCCAATAACTGGATCTCCATACAATTTCTCAGGCTATACTTGATGTGAAAGTTTGAGAACCACTGATTAAAATCATTCATCAGGTGCTACGTCAAAACAATAACTCAATACGTTTTTCACCATAAACACTTTTTGTACCAGACAATGATCAAATTTGTGCTTGGAAGTCCATAATATACAATACATAACTGTTCTTGTAAAATACGTTTTTGTGACAGTTCATTGTTATAATCACCAATCTCAACATTTTTTGATTGACCTTTTTATTTATTAGTTTTATTTATTAATTTATTTACTTATTTATTTATTTGTTTGTTTTATTTATTTATTTTAAAATGAAAATACACCATACAGTACCATACAAATGTTGAATATTTTCTGAATATACACTACTACATTTGATATACACAGAAGACATCCATTATGTTGTGTTTTTTGAGCTTTGTGTCGCATTTTTGTATGAAAAGCACTCTATAAATGAAGTTTTATTGATTGATTATATGCAACAAGATGTATGGAATTATGTAGTAAAAGGAAATCTTATATAATTTTATAATTGTATATAACTGGCTGTACACTGGCTGCTTTCGGTGGTACTTGGGTTCCTCTACAGTTCTTACATAAGCTTAATTAAAGACAAAAAAATAATCAAAAATGTTCAGGTTTTGTTTTATGTTTTCTCATTTTAGACGCCAGTTTAGACCTAGAATAGTCATGTTGTAGTTCTGATTTAGCTCTGCTCGTACTCTGATCCAATAACGTCAAACTATTTCTCCGGTGGCACTTAACATCTGATTAATGACTTTAATCCAGTAGTTCTCAAACTTTTCACTCTATGTCAAACAGACACTCAGTACGTTTTTTTTACAATAAATACTTTTTTGTTCCAGGCACAATCATGGCCAATGTCCACAACACGCAATACATAACTGTTCTTCCAAATTACGTTTTCGTGACAGTCCATTGTTATAACCCAACCCCTATGTTTTGCTTATTCACAAACCTCGTACACACTCTTTCATTGTCCCCATATAATATTCGCAAATGTAATCCGAGAAAGCCATGCAAAAACACATTCCAATTTCCAACTTGATGCATGTCTCTAACGCCCTTGCATCGTGTACTAGATGTCCTGTAATACCCCATACCACGCCTGGCGCTAAACGATATGGAAATTCCTCTCCCACATTTGTATAATCCATAGTTAATGACTGCGAATTTGGTTCTGGCAACTGCCCCATCTGTCTTAATACCCACAATCCTTTGCACGGAGCTCCTAATGACTGCAATGTATCACCTGTGTGCGCGTGGAAAATGACAAAAAGTATTAGCCGCATCCTCGCTCTCCGCATTGTCTCCAGCGGATTTCGGTATGTAACGTAACCAATGTATCATGTATATATAATGAATTCATGCCTCGGCGGGTTTACCTTAAATCATATTTGCAAAAAGTGGAAGACGCATATTATAAAAAGAAGTCATTTTGAAACTAGGTACTACAACGTGGTTGTTAACATTGAATGAATTGCAATAGAATGCCGTGTTATGCTAAATGCACATTGGGGGATACAGATGGTGAAATGCTAATTGGAAGAAATGTGTCAAGGTTGATTTTGTACTAAGGAAACACTGGTATATACAGTGGTACTACAAACCCGAGTTACAACAGCAGGATTTGGGCAGCAGAAGTCCTGGTTTGGAGCTGGCCTCCTGTCCAGATCTATAAAGAAGACAGAGCATGCAATACAAGGAAAATGTAATACAATAGTACTGCCCTACAATGGACAAATGCAGTATCTGTACTCAAAGATTTGATGTTGTATTGAAGTATTTCAAAGGTAGTATTTTAGTTTGTAGGTTGAATAAGAAATAGTGTGCCATATGTCAGATTGTAGAGAGTAAAACAAATAGAAAAAAAGCATCTGATTCATCAAAATTGGAACAGAGAAGAGTAAAAATAAAATCACTGAATAAACCAGGTGTTATGAAGTAGTTTTTGGTATGAACTCCAATACTGTACTTTTCCTTTGTTGGGCAGAATGCACCATAGCACAACATTTCAATGGAAAGTATAATCTCCCAAGTAATTTGTACTATATAAATATGTCAAATTTGTAATCACTAATTGCAGAGTACAGCGTTACTTAATGTGATGTTGTATTTGCCAGTACCATTTGGGTTTTGACGCAAAGTTAAATTAGGGCATGGTGTTCTAAAGGAGGTTGTCATTTATGTTGAATTTTCCTGGTTATATGCAAAATATTGCACCAAAACATGTTTTATGATTGATTTTATGTTAAATAACTTTCATATATATATATATATTATATATATTATATATATATATATATATATATATATTATATATATATATTACTTAATAGAGGTTACTTAATTTGAGGTAATCATCATTGAGTTTAATAGGTGAGAAACTTGAATAATTGGTCTATATGGGGAAAACTTGGTTGAGAAATTGAGTTGAGAACCTTCCTCTTGAGTGAATGTTTACATTTTAGATCAACACTGAACTCATATTTATTTATTTATTTAGAATAGAATAGAATAGAACAGAATAGAACAGAACAGAAGAGAAGAACAGAACAGAACAGAAACAGAAGAGAAGAGAAGAGAAAGCCTTTATTGTCATTATACAGTATAATGAAATTCAGAGCTGCTCCTTCAAAGTGCAAGAATTAATAATATATAAAAGAAATGAACAGTTCTCATTCAGTATGGTGATAGCTTTGGGGAAGAAGCTGTCCCTGAGTCTGCTGGTCCTAGCTGGAATTGACCTAAAGCACCTGCCAGAAGGCAGCAGGTTGAACAGGTGGAATCCAGGGTGTGTATTGTCTGTAATTATTTTCCTCACTCTGCTGAGACAGCGGAAGTTGTATAATGTGGTTAAGGAAGGCAGAGGGCAGCCGATAATGTCCTGTGCAGTGTTGGTGACCCTCTGCAGACGTTTCCTGTCAGCCTCTGTGCAGCTGGAGCGCCACACTGTCACAGCAGAGGTCAGCAGGCTCTCAATGGTGGAACGATAGAAGGTCACCAGCAGCTTGTGTTTAGTTGTTCCTTCCTGAGCTCCTCAGGAAGTGTAGCCGCTGCAGGGCCTTTTTGACCAGTGCTGAGGTGTTGACTGACCAGGAGAGATCCACAGAGATGTGAACCCCAAGAAATTGGAAGGACTCCACTCGCTCCACACTTTGGCCGTTGATGTACAGGGGGGGCAGTTTTTTTTTTGTTTTTTTGTTTGTATTTTTTTAAAGGGTTTTTAGGTGTAATTTCTTTATTTATTGAGACAGGGACAGTGCACAATTTACATTAACCTTAACAGGAGAAATAGATTGTACCTGCTAATTTCCACCTGTAGTCCTTGGGTAGGTTCATTGATTAATTGTATTTAATTGACCTTAGCTATCAACTGTTCTTCCTGGAGACCTATGTAGCATGTTTTTGGGTTTTCATTCCACCTGCTGTATTAAAATATTCACAGTGTTCATGAACATTTATTGTTTAAAGATGCACTGCATAACTTTTCTTGGAGAGGGCTCATGCTGTCTATCCCCATGGAGTCAAGCAAGCAAGAATGCAATAAAATCACCCCTAATGAAACTAAAGCTTTTAATGCCATACAGTGGGACACATAGCAATAACATTTCTGTAAAGAAAAAAAATGTGCTGTACCCTCCACCAGAAAAGTTACACAATGCACCTTTATACAAGATTCAGGGTTGCTTAAATTATACAGTAAAAGTGAAGATGTTTTGGTGTGGCATCTAGTGAGCTCTTGGATCGAACCACTCAAGTAAATCACCAAATCCAACTTTTTTTTTTTGATTGACCATTTGAATTAAACACTACTACATTTGATATACAGAAGACTCAGAAGAATTGGTTGTATGAAGTAAGATGTATAGAATTATATAGCAAAGATAACTCTGCTATACATATTATATTAACCATATTTTGCTTTTGTTGACGTATATATTTAGTTTAGAGTTATTTAACTTTTTTTTCTCTTTTGTTTGTATCTAAAATGTAGAAAGTAGTACAAAAAAAAGAAAACACTGAATGAGAGAGTGTATTTTTTATTTTATTTATTTATTTTTTGACAAAGCAGAGGGTGTGTAGGATTTAAGGATTTGGCTGTAAAATATATGTATTTTTTATGTAATCTTACTTCATATATTTGACGTTGATGATATTTGATGCAGTAAACACACAGAAAAAAGCACTAAATGAGAGGTTGAGTCCAAACTTTTAATTGGTAGTGTATACATAGTCTTATGGGAAAATCAGGTCGGAGCTTTTCTGTATGCGTCTCCTGTTTCTGTTTGACCGCGAAAACAAGCACAACATCCTTTTATAAGATTAAAACCCAATAAAATCACCATTTACTTGGATCACTTCTTCAAAATGACAGCTCTTTCACTGTGCAACATTCAAAACTGACAGAAACAATCCACCTCCAAAGCCTTTTACATTAAAACCAATGCTTGTCCTGTCCTTCACTTCAACCGCATTTGCAGGCAGTTATTATGAAGTCATGTTTGTCAAATGGCTATTGATTTTGTCCTTTAGCAACGCAAGCCAAGAACACATAGTTATAAACAGAGTGGGGAGAGTTAGTTTGAGGACATCCCCTTAAGATGATCGTCTATCCTCCTCATGATAAACGACTTGCACGCTTTGATCACTCGTTCTCAAAGCGGTGGAGCCCTGGAGATGTTTTAGTCGGCGTTCTATATTCCGCCTGGTGGGAGATTCAGTAGAACTTTGGGTATCTGAAAGTGTCTGAATGGGTAAGTCCTGCAGGAAGTGGATTTGTGAGTAAAATTATTCAAGGTTAAAGAAGTACTGGGATTGGGTGAAAGTAATGTTACTGTAAAATATTAATACTTGGGTAATTTTGACTGTAAAAGTAGTACTGTACATAAGTATACATTTTAGGTAGATTTTAATCTGGATACTTTTTACTTTTACTTCTGCATTAGGTAAGTAGAGTTTTTCTAGTGATACTTTTTCTTTTTTTTTCCCCCCTCCTGTACCTGTACTTTTACTTAAGTACTTCTACTTCTACTGAGTACCACCACTGAGTACCAGCCAATTGAATGTGAATAGAATTGGAGGGAAATTAATACAGATTTGACAGCAATTGTGATAAATAAGTTCCAACTGTTATCAAAATATTACCAATCAATCAATCCTTGATTTAGTATTATTCCTTAACAAAGGGTTACTAGAGGTAGTCCAGAATTCATAGAACCATAGTTACAATCATAACTTTCATTTGAGCTTACAACTTCAATTGCTGGGGTGTCCAACCTTTGTATTCTATAAAATGTTATTTTATCAAAATCAGTTCTCCAGTTTCAGTTTTTCCCTTCATCGGTCTAAACCTGCATTGCTGCACCTTCTACTTGTATACCTTTGATTTCAATTTACGTCAGACTCCAATTTTTGTTCTTCACTATTCTTGATCTTGATTAGAAGCTCACTGCAAAACAAAATCATGTGCATGGTTCAATATTTCAATATGAGGGTATAAACCTCATAAACTTCACATCCAAAACAACTAACAAACATCCATAAACACATGAGAATACAAACACAAAGTGAGTTGCTGCAAAGGCAAATTCAGCGTGCTGTTTGGTTGTATATTACTTTCTACCACTGGATGGAGTCAAGAGCCTTTACCATACATGGCTGTTCTCAAACTAACAAGAAGGAGGGTTCTGAACTATGTCCCAGAATATGGCAAAAGTATCAGGCTGTCAAACACTCGCAACTTGCAAAAACGAAGGAGAAGTGACAAAAAAAAAAAAAAAAAAAAAAAAACACAAGAGAATGAACAGGTCAATCACATATAATTCATACATTACATCTGCTTCAGTACATCCAGAACGCTGCAGCTCGGGTCCTTACTCGAACTCGGAAGTACGAGCACATAAGTCCTGTGCTCCGGTCTCTGCACTGGCTCCTGTGGCTCAGAGAATAGACTTTAAAGCAGCTCTGCTTGTGTACAAGTCTCTGCATGGCCGAGCACCAAAATCCATCTGTGACATGTTAGTGTCATATGAACCATCTTGCACTCGGAGGAGCTCAGGGACCGGCCTCCTGCTGGTGCCCAGAGTCAGGACTAAACACGGGGAGTCAGCGTTTCCGCTTCGTGCAGCTAAAACCTGGAACAGTCTTCCTGAACATGTGAGACAGACTCTTCTGTGACGCTGTTTAAATCCAGGCTCAAAACATTTCTGTTTAACTGTGCAAATAACTGAAAGGTTTTCATTCCACACTCTTCTCTCTAATTTATGTAATTAATGTCTCTCTCTATTTTTTTATTTACATTTTTAATTTTATGATGATAATTTATATTTTGATTAGTTTTATTATGATTTTAATGTATTTCTTATTCTGTAAAGTACTTTGAATTACTTTGTGTACAAATTGTGCTATACAAATAAACTTGCCTTACCTACATTGTGCAATGCAAAAAAGATGACTGCGAATAAAAAAGGTATACCATATACATTATAAATAGGAATATACAGGAGAGTACATCACATCCTTATTGCTGCAATATAACCATCAAAGCTGATATCAAAAGCTCAGTTTTAATGCTTTTAAATATATTGTAATGTAAGTTACAGGTGTTGGTGGTCGGAGGGGCCGATGGTGAAGATTGGCAGCCTTGCTTCCATCAGTCTGGCGTAGGGCAGCTGCGGCTAGTTTACCACCACCTGCTGTGGAGTGATTGAATAATGCACCAAATAGTAAGTGCTATTTAAGACAAATGCATTATTATTATTAGAACATTTGAACACTCAGAAAGAAGCCACTCCTCTGGGAATGACACTTTTTTTGTTGTGAGGCTGAATCTCTAACCCAGGGGTCTCCAAGCTATAACTCGGGAGCTACTGGTACCCCTCTACTCCCTTACAAGTAGCTCGCCAAAGGATTTCTGAATTACACGTATTGTGCTGAATAAGTCAAATCTGATTAATTAAGTGCCTTTTACAACTGTTCAAGTATCATTTTGGTTCCTAACGTTGTACACTGGTATTGAATAATAGTTTGTTTTATAGGCATCTAACTGTACCTCATCTAAAGCTTGCCATGTCATGCCATGTATATATTCAATTTCTTATGACTTGTAGCATTTTCTTTTCGTACAGGTAGCTCACCGGAGAAAAAAAGTTTGGAGACCCCCACTCTAACCACTATGCCACTGTGCTGCCACCAGTTGGTTTGAGCAGAGGGTACACAGAACTGGGTCAAACATACCATTGACTGAAATAAATATGACCAAAACCCGTCTATTTCTTACTTGACCTTATTTGTCCCCATTATTATGATTCACACCTAGGCCCGTGTATTTATCTCACCAACAACATATTTACCCAGACACAAATTACTCCAAGACCCTTCTCTATTGTCCAACTGAACCCATTTCTGCAATAATAGACCTCCACGCGAGCCCATTAATGCCTATAATGACTTTTCTTGAGACCGAGGACACCCACCCACCCAGCTGATCCTATGCCCACCGCACCCACCCACCCTGCCCCGTTACCCGTGCCCATGATAGAAGCTATTATCTGGGTCTCCCTCCTGGCTGCACATCAAACATGGATGAGCTCCCCCCATAAAAGGCTCAGTTTCCCTTTGATTTATACAAGGAATAAAAATTGGAAAGGTGAAAAGTCCAAAGCATGCATATTTTATCGCCACACCAAAGGCAAGACAGAGCAGATTTTTAGCGTGGAGGAAAAAAACTTTAAATAGATTGTGATAGGATTGGATAAGAAAGTAAAAATGGACCTATGAGCTGTATTGTTCAAAAGTCGTCTATGTGTTGTGTTTCGTAGCCTATATGGTTATTTTTGTCTGGTTACCAAGCAGCTGTTGGAACTACAAGATTAATTATTTAAACTTAAAATAGTTGTGCTATGCCCAATAGTCCCGGATTTTTGTTGTTTATATAGATTTCTTGTAATAGCAAACAAGGAAGTAAGATATATTTGAAAAGATACTTTGCAAAAACAGATACATGCTAATTGACAAAGTCATCAGAGGCTTGTAGTTTACGCTTAGTATAGTAATAGTTTCAAAAGTCAAATGTATTTCACTGCTGTTAAAATATTATTCCATCTCTTCTTGATAAACATCCACTATACAATGTCATTGATAATATCTCTAGACGTTGGTGGAAAACCTTTGGGCAATTTTTCAAAACGATGATGTTTGTTTTTGCCATTAAACTTTTGTACATCTTAAACTCCTTTTGTATTTTTGGCACTTAGTTGGATTGAAAGACATGAAGAAACAAGCAGAAAAAGAACATACTGAACTGAAACTGAACAGTGAGTTTTCAAAGGGTTACCTATGGTACGGTATGGCATATATGTGATCAGTGTTGGAAAGGTTACTTTTGAAATGTATTCCCCTACAGATTACACACACCAAAAAGTAGTCTGTAATGTAATCCATTAACTTACTTAAAATGAGTAACGTAATCTGAATACTTTGGATTACTTGATTTGCTGTAGAGAAGCAAAGACTAGGATATCATAACTTAAGATGTTTTGTCTGCTAAAAGAAAATAAAAAGCCCAGACTTTACTTAACCGTATTAAAAAATATTATTGATAGAAGAGGAGACACGTCTGCACAGCATGATTTAGTCCTGGTTTAGTCCTGTTAAATCCTGTTTTAGTCCTGACTTAGTCCTGGTTTAGTCCTGGTTTAGTCCTGGTTTTAGTCCTGGTTTTAGTCCTGGTTTTAGTCCTGGTTTTAGTCCTGGTTTTAGACCTGGTTTTAGTCCTGGTTTTAGTCCTGGTTTTAGACCGCCATGTAATGCATTTATTTCAACAAAGTAATTGTAATCCAATTACCACTCACTGAAACAGTAACTGTAACCGAATACAGTTACTCATAATTTGTACTCTGATTACGTAACTCTGATACATGTAATCTGTTACTCCCCAACACTGTATGTGATTCACATTAGCATTTCACCATGTAATATGCCTTAATATAAAGTGTAACACTATTAGTGTTTTTAGTCCAGATTTAGTCTTGGTCTAATGGTCAAGATGTTACTTGGAAAGTTTTATCTTTCATGAGGAGTTACATGGTACGAAAATGTGTTGATGATCTGTGTCAAAGTCATAATATATGGCAAGATGATTAGTTAAATGTTACTTAAAATATAAACTCTTCCAAAAGAGAATCAAACTCTATCCAAAAGACTCTTCTTTGTGAAGGTGATCACAGTCAAAACTATTGTCATCTAAACAGACATGTCAAACTCCTGCAGTATAATATCAAATATGTATTAGAGCTGGCCCAGCAGCTACAGATTATTATTGTTTTATTTTAAATGTTGTTATTATTTATATTTTGCTTGTTCTGGATTAATTGTTTAAGCAAAACTATTATTAAACATTTATTTTAATAAGAAAAGTTTTATTTTATATATCTTGAAAGAAAACAAAAATTTCACGACTTTTTTTTTTTTTTTATTTTGGTCTTCTATGAATTTGAGTTTCACACCCCTGATCTAAAATCATCCATCATCATATCATCCAATTTTGTAATTATTTTTATTATTATTATTGTTTTATTTTATTTTTTAATTTTCTCAGTTTGAATGTTTAAAGTTGCAAAGCATAACTGTTCTGGTGGAGTGGTGCAGTGTCTATTTATCTATATATCTAATGTAGAGTCACATGTCCCAAGGTATGGATTATGGAGGTTGGTATGTAAAAAGAATAGGCACCCAGTCTAAAATGGTTTGTCTCTTTTTTAATCACCATTTCTTTTTTCTTTTTCTTTTTATAAAAATAATCATTCTGCTTCATGGTTTTGTGGTTCCATGCAACATCACTAAAATATAAATTGCTGTGACGTCAAGCTTTGGGGGGTTCTACATGTCTGTATAGTGAAATGATTAGAAGTTACAATACTGACACACATGATGATACTTTAGCCAAACACAGCCAAAAAGTTTTAAGACTGTCTGACAACTCAAGAAAATATAAAATAGACTTAAACACCACATTTACAGGAGCAGATGTTCCCGTGTAGGTGTTTGATTTTCAACAAAAAGGTGAGACAACTGAAAACCTGAACTGAAAAAAAGTTTGTGACTGTGACTTTATGTGTGCGATTGTTTAAATCCGCTCACCTGTTGAAGTTCCAACTAAATCAACTCTTTCTGGTCAGATCGTGTTGAAATAAAACTCAGATTCAAGTCTAATTTTGAGTAACGGAGCTTCAGACGGAGCGGTGCCTACAGTTATGTCGATGACGTCAGCTCCGAAGTATCTATAGTTTAGCAGTGTGGTCAGTAAACAGGTCCTTTGGGTGCGCTTAGACTTAGAGCTGCTTAAAGAGACAGTGTTGATTACAGATCTGCTGATGACCTGCATTCTCCCAGTCCCTGTAGTGTTTCTGTAATAGCTCCATCTCCACAGACAGAGCCGCTGTGGGGGCTGGGACCATCTATTCTTCACTATACTCCAGATGCGTTCGACTGAATGAATGTATGAGAATTATCAACTATTTATGGTAGTTAAGTACGTGTTAAAATAAAATATGAATGCTCAATGGTAAATATACATGACTGAGTATGTTAAAAGTTCCTATATGGTTCCCTGTGGAATCTAGAGCTGTGTCAGTGATTTGTCTAGTCAAATGAATACAATCAGACATCTTCAGAAACAAGGATTCATTATGGCAGTTATGATTATTTATTTAGAATATACTTTAATATTCAACTTTTTTTCTCTGTACAAATCACTGCTTTTATCTTTACTGTATTATACACCTATTGATCTAATGATAATCTTTGAATGTCCTGAAAAGCACTATATAAAGAAAATGTATTATTATTTATGATTGTGATTTGTTCGAGTGTGCAGTTTTTTTTGTTCCCCCCCCAGGGTTATTGCAATTAGGAGAAAGTGATGTGATTGACCCTCCCACCGCTAAACCCTCACAATCACATCACTTTCTCCTTATTGCAATGAAGTATTTCATTGATTGTCTTGTTCAAAATTGTTCATAGTTATTTAATGGTATGAACTGAATGCATTAAGTTTTGTTTTCTTGTTATTTAATACCACACTTTGTTGTTGTATTGCTTTCGTTATATTGGTTTCTGTGTTGGTTAGCACTGGATTAAAACTTTTATTCTGATCGTTTTTGTTGTTATTTTTATTATTTTTTTCTTTGTTCCATTTTTTTTTTTTTTTTTAAAATTTTCCCAGGGTTATTGCAATTAGGAGAAAGTGATGTGATTGACCCTCCCACCTCTAAACCCTCACAATCACATCACTTTCTCCTTATTGCAATACTTTATAGATTGTCTTGTTCAAATTTGTTCATAGTTATTTAATGGTATGAACTGAATGCATTAAGTTTTGTTTTCTTGTTATTTATTACTTTGTTGTTGTATTGCTTTCGTTATATTGGTTTCTGTGTTGGTTAGCACTGGATTAAAACTTTTATTCAGATCGTTTTTGTTCTTATTTTTATTATTTTTTTTCTTTGTTCCATTTTTTTAAATTTTAAAATTTTTTCCTAGGGTTATTGCAATTAGGAGAAAGTGATGTGATTGACCCTCCCACCTCTAAACCCTCACAATCACATCACTTTCTCCTTTGTACTTTGTTGTTGTATTGCTTTCGTTATATTGGTTTCTGTGGTGGTTAGCATTGGATTAGAACTTTTATTCAGATAGTTTTTGTTATGTTTTTTTTTTGTTTTTTTTTTTTCAATTTGGAAGCTATATGATCATAAACAATGCTATATAAATACTATGGATTTGGAATTGGAAATTGGAAGTATGAGTGCCAGAGTTTCCCATACAAGGTCATTTTGGTCCATAGTCTTATTGGCTGGTTGAAGGTAAAAAGGAAAAATACTTTGAATAAAACAATAACTAGTTTGTCTCCTGTAGGTTAGACTACTGTAATGGCCTGATCATGGGCCTCTTCAAATGAGCTGTGAGACGCTGCAGTACATCCAGAACGCTGCAGCTCGGGTTCTGACTCGAAACAGGAAGTACGAGCACATAAGTCCTGCGCTCAGGTCTCTGCTCTCGCTCCTGTGGCTCAGAATCAGCTCTGCTTGTGTACAAGTCTCTCCATGACCGAGCACCAAAATACATCTGTGACATGTTAGTGCCATATGAACGAGGGATGGCCTCCTGCTGGTGCCCGGAGTCAGGACTAAATGCGGGGAGTCAGTGTTTCAGATTGATGCAGTTAAAACCTGGAACAATCTTCCTCAACATTTGAGACAGGCCTCTACTCTGACTGTTTAAATCCAGGCTCAAAACAGTTTGTTTAGCTGCACATGACTGAAAGGTTTTCATTCCGCATTCTTCCCTCTAATTTAATGATGACTATTTATGTTTTGACTTGCTTGGATTGTGATTTTTATGTATTTCTTATTTTGTAAAGCACTTTGAATTACTTTGTGTACGAATTGAGCTATACAAATAAACTTGCCTAGTTATTATTTCATACTAAAATACCTTAGAACAGTTGAATGTTAGGTATGACTAAGCCCATCCACATGACACAAAAACAGACATTAAGCATAGACCAGGACAAATGAACAAGGTTATTATAGTTAAAAAGTCAATGGAATTCCAACAACTTCCCTCCAGCTCTATTTTAAAATATTGTCATGACATGTTCTGATATCACATAGAAAAAAAAAAACTAAATAAATAAATAAATAATAGTCTGGTACCAGCATTACCATATGATACATGTTGAAAACGATCAAAAATACAACAACAGAGTGCCATCAATAAAAAGGAAAAAAGAAGAAAAACTATAATGTATAGAGAGAAAAAAAAAAAAAAACAAAACATGACACAACAAAGAAATATTCCAAAATAACAGTAACATGACTACATCAAGTGACAACCTGAAACAATGGTGCAAACTGAAAAATCTCTTGTATGTTACCCATCTCAGATTCCAACATAGCCTCCAGTCAGAATCCGCAATCACCAAACCCACCACCACCACCTCTCCCATCAGTCACCCCCACCTTCTCCACCTGCCCGGCCCCACACCCCTGCACCTCCACCCGCCCCTTGCCCACCCATTTCCATCCATCTCCCCTCCCCTCGCCATGGCTGCGACTCATTTCTGCTTATATTGCTCCATACATCCTCCTCCCTCTTCTATCTCCTCAAATTCATGGGATTCAGGTTCCCGTTATATGAAACATTGTGAAGACTTTTTTTCCAATTCAAAAAGATGTAATATTATGTTTTAAATTGTTAATTGCTATGACAACTGTCCAATTTTTTGCTATGATTGTGACACAGATAGGTTGAAAAATTGAAATGTCATAATCTCAGACAGTAGGTAAGGGGCTATATGTAACTCTATGGGAGATTCACTGTTTTTTGAAAGAAAAAATAAAATAAAAATCCATAAATGTTGAATCTTTTCGATATTCCACTAACCTGCAATGTGAACCTCCTATCAACTGATAACTGGGGGTTGAATATGGCACCACTTTCTGCAGCTATTGTGAAAGATGATTTCACTTTAGTTTATTTACACTGACAGAGATGTTGAACTTTCTGACATTTTTTCAAATTTTGAGTTTATTTATTTACTCCAGTTCCAGTAACAAATCTACAGTCTGACAGCTTAACAGCTTTTTTCATTAAGGATTCTAAATATCCAGGGTGAAAATGTCACCAGTTATCTTATCAAAATAAACTCATGAGCCACCAAATTTAAATTTAACAAAACAATATTTGTAATTTTGCATGAAATAAATCCGTGTAAACAATCAAGAACTAATATGGGTTAACATTACTGTTAGTATTTGGAACCTTTCCCATTCAAAAAAGATTGTTGTTGATTGCTAGGGCAACTGTTCTAATTTTTCATCATTGTAACATGGATAGGTTGAAGAAGACTTGAAATCATAAGCAAAGTTTGACTTTTGCACTGGGAGGGGCAAACATTTTAAAGTTCAAGATTTAAAGTGAGTATTGTCTTGTGCACAGTGAAGAAATGCTTTGCCCTGTACAATGAAATTATTGCTTTACTGTCCATGACGCCATGCATTATAACTATTCAGTGACATTACATGCAACAGTTATAATGTTATTACACATACAGCAGTACTGTTCATAAGCCTCCCATAAAGCCAAACACCACACAGCATCACACATGAGGTGTGTAGGAGGGGGGTTAGGGGTGTAGTGAGCGTGGTACACAGGGTTATGCTGTCTACCCACTTCTCCCGACGTGAGATATAAAAAAATAACAAATATAAAATAGCTACAACTTAAATGTCAAACCAGAGCTACTGGCAATGGTGAAAACAAGCTGCATAGGCTCATGATATCTCCAGTACTGTCCTATAGTGACCTGAGACATCAGGGACCAGGACTAAAACAGGACTATGTCAGAACTGAACCGGGACTGAGTGTCATGAAGGGCTCGAAGGTGCGCCCATGTAGACCGTCGGGTGACCGCAGGCGAAAGGACCAACCACCCAATCATAAGTAAATATTTGTATTGGCCATATTATAGACTCAATGTCATGACATATTTCAGCCACTAGGGGGGACAGTTACTCCCCTGACCTCCGCAAACTCCGCCTATGCTTGAATTTTGTTTGTTTGTTTGTTTGTTTGCTTTGTGACAACAGTTATCTCATCAAAATAAACTTATGAGCCTCCATTTGTAATATTGTATGCAATAAATCCATGGATACAATGAAGAATTGATATGTCTCAACATTTCTGTTTGTGGACTTTAGTGGACAAATTCTAAGCTATATAGTAACCATATAATTAAGTTGTACAGTAACCACCTACAGTAACGACCAATTAAACAAATAAGGTAAAGACGTTAATGTTACCTAACCGGCTCTTATGTTACTTACAAGTCTCAGCCACCTTTTTTCATGTTTTGTAATATTGTGTAACTAATCCTAACTTAAATTGCATTGTGCTTCTCTCCACTTTTTTCTCTAGTTTCATCCATTCCAGAACCTAACCCCTTTGTTCAGAAACTTTTAAATGGCCCATATCCTCCTCCCCCTTTCCTCCCTCTTCCTCCCTTCCCATCTCCTCACATTCCCAGTCTACCATTTTCCCCCCTTTTTTTCCTGCTTCCCATCCGCTGCTGTCTGAATTATGCAGTGGCCGTGCAGCTGCAGCGGTGCCATTGTCCCGGCTTCAATGTTAACGCGGCGTCCTTGTCACAATTATCGGCTCGCTATCATCCATCAAACCTAATCATTGTCGTACACCTTCACAGACAAACAAAGAACCTTCTGGAGAACAAAGGGGGCGCGTGGATGTCTGATATCCCATGTTAGAGCTCACAGTGTCATGTTGGATTGAATAATGCAATTGGAACAGGCAAACAGAACATGTGTGGAAAAGATGGTGGGTGAAATATGCAGCAGTTGTTGTTTTAGTGGTCTAATAGTGCTGTTTGGTTTGACTTGGGAATATTGACATGAAAATTACTGTAACGCTATTGTGTACAGTAGTTAATGGTTTAGGGGTTATATCTGTGGAGAGGCAACCCTGCTCATAGTTAGAATGCTTGTTTTTCTAGGTGTTTTTGAGCTAGAAAACCAGCTATAATTGATATAAATGTAAGGTAGAGCTGTTTAATGCCATATTGTGGAACATTCCAGACAGAGCAATGACATATTCATAGAAAAAAACAGAAGATGGACTCCCCAACAAAAATATTACATAGAGAACCTTTAATATAAATGATCATATTTGATTTTAACCTCGAGCAAATCCAATCATGAAATTCAAATGAGTTATAAAATTAGCTCATTGTAATTGGAGTTTATGTTTGTCACGAAGGAACTTGGTTTATTATGTAATATTGAAGTTATATTAGAAGTAGGAGTCATGTTCTCTGCATTTGACCCATTCTTTAACACTGGGTA